CAGTGCGTCCTCCCCCCCAGCCAGGCCTCGGGCCTCCTCGCGCCCCCTCCCCCAAATGATCAATTACCAGCCACCCTTCTGCCGGGAGCGGCTAGGGGCTGGCTGGCGGCCGCGAGGAAGCGGCGGCCCGGATCACTTCTGCATGACAATTGATGGGAGGGAGGGCGCGAGGCGAGGAGGGAGGACGGCTGCAGTGTCCGTTTTCTCACCATGGTGATTAGGCATTCCGGCCGTGCGAGGAGGCAGCCGCCGAACAGAGCGGCGCGGAGTGGAGCGAGGACAGGGGAAGGGAGCGAGAGCGAGAGCAAGCCCAGCCGCCGTGCGGGCGGGCGAGCCGCGCGCCGAGCCAAGCCAAGCCAGGCCAGATGGCTCTGCAGCCTTCAGGGACTGCTCCCGTCCAGCCTGGCCCCACTTTAGCTGTGCAAACATTTCTTTATCCCAACAAGACAATTAAACCCAGCAGCATGAAAAGGAGTCTCCATGACTGCGTTGGGAGTGAACAACCAGAAACAACCACACACATCACAGAAGTTCTTGCCCCCGGGAGAAAGGGAGGAGGAAAAGGGCTCCAGAAGAACCTGAGAGAAGCTGAGAGCAGGCAAGGTCTGGGCAGGCAGTAGAGGGAACCATCTAACCCATCCAGTCTGGTGATTTGCTAACCCTTTCACAGCAGTCATCTAGAATTCCAGCTAGAATCCAGAGGTTGATTAGGATGAAGTTGGAACTGCCCCAAACATCTCATCAGCAAGAGCAATTCCCCTGAAAGCAAGACTCTGGGTCCCTTCCCACCACAGTCCCAAAAGCCCATGAGGAAGTATCCACCATGGCGCTAGCCACCCCTCGGAATCTCAGACTGACTGTCCCTGGCTTATGTAGGCCCAGCTGATCTGATTCTTAGGACAGAGGGTCTTCAGTGAGACATGCCTTTATAAAGACACATCTCAGAACACAAAACCCTGTTTCCTAGTCAGGACATTTGGGACCTTGGAATGACTTTTCAAATACATCAAAGATGAAAGCAAGGCAGAACATCAAGGAGCTATCTATCTGTAAATCTGCCTGACCACCAAGGGAACCAGTGCCTTGTGGCTCTCCCTGAGAATGGCAGGGTCAGTCACAGCAGTTCTGTCCCTCCTAGCCCTCAGGTGAGCATGCATACTAGCCAACTCCAATTTGGGTTGGCAGGCAGGCCAAAGACTGTGTCACCCACACAGCAATCTGGGCACAGGAGTGGCCTAAAGAAAACTCTCAGGAAATACACACAGCAGGCCCAGAGAGCTAAGGGGATAATAAATACGTAGATTCTAGGACAAGGCAGCAGACAGTACTTAGCTTCCCTTTTGTTGTAAAGTTTCATTAATGAGGAAATGTTTATTTAAAAAGCCTTGGGAAACATAGCCATAGACACTTTATATGTAAGACACACGTGGACTATTCGTAATTGGTCCATAAATTTTAACATCATTTCCCTGGACAAGGAGCCTTGGAGAATGGTTCAGGGAGTGACAATAAATAGGAGTTACCTCGGTCCCCTTCCTGGGGGAATTATGCATCCTCCATGAACAGCTTCTCACAAAACACTCTTCTCATGTTCCTGGGCAAATAAGTCCTGTAGAGTAAAGGCTTCTTTTTTCCACAGAGCCCAACACCTACCTCAGGGATTACCTGTGATGCCAGGTGGGTGAACAGGCAAGCAAACTGGATCACCTACTAGGAAAGACAATACTTAACCCAAATATATTGCTTTCTACGGG